TATATATACAATTGTTTATTACAAGGAAAATTTTGGTGTGGTAGTAAAATAAAAAATCTAGCATATAGCAAAATAAACAGAAGAGTATTTAATTGAACAAAATTAACTTTACGAATTTGTGCTTTACCACAAAAAATCAAATGTTTCGCTGATTATCTCACAGAAAAATCTGTGTCCTATTTCAAATAATATCGTGAAATAGAGGACTCATTAAGCTATGTCTTTCATATAGAAGATAGAGTTCCTGACAATATCTCGATCGAAAGTGATGAAAAATGTAGATATCCAACGATATCACTAAAGCATTCATTATAATCATTATAAAAAATGCAGAAGTTTTCTTTTTTCATGCTACAAGAGTTCACTACACGTACATTGTAAAACTCAGATTAGATGAGTAAAAATATGATTGTTATAATAAATGAAATATTTTGCAAGTGTAAAAAAAAGTTGTGGAATCGTTTTTCGGTACTTTCTGTTCTGAAATTTCTGTCGCTTTTAACAAATATTTTTTTAATCAAATTCTTTTGTACATTTTTTGCACTAAACACTTTGCTCTTTCTAGCAAAAAAAGAAGAGATCTCTACGATATTCTATTATATTGCTGTATCAAAAACAAAATTAAAGCACAACTTTTGCATCACTCGTTATTTTCTAGAATATACAAGTTTTTTACTAACAAGTCTAAAGAAAAAGAATATCCTCGCAGGCAGACGACTATTCAGTGGTATCATTTGTGGAACTCTTAGTAATAATGTTTGTGTTTAGGTTAGGAGGATATTGATGCTGGCTATGAGGGTGTGGGTAGGGTTATCTAACTAGAGTTTCATCCATATCCACACCTATATCCATCCATATAGCAACTAATTTAAAAAAAAAGGTTTTTTGTAGTTTATGGAAATGTCGACTAACACTATCATTAATAAGTTTGTGTAAATTGTCAATGCAATGTTGCGTAGTCATTGAGATATTGGAATCTGTCGGAGAAAACATTTCTTCACAGGTGACGGCTTCTTCCTCTATGAATCCAAAGAATTATTTGAGAATTATAGTTTGGATTTCGAATGATTGAATAGGTAAATTTTGACAGTAAATGATCATGAAACCATTCGATTAGTTCATCGTTTGCTTCTAATAAATGAAATCGACTGCTTTTATCATCGTTACAGCGAATGACTAATACTCGAACATTGGGCATGATGTTAATAAAATCGAGAACACTTGATCGGCTTTCGACATCAATTATAAGAACTTCGCATTGGAATACAAGTGACGAACCAGCCAAAATACAACATTCTGTACTATTAAAATATCGCAAACCATAACTAAACTTTTGAAATAATTCAAGTCGACGAATTGATGTACTACTGATATTGAATGATGCCATTGAGAAGTTATTCAAATGACAAAAACTCAATGAATAGAGACGAGGAGCTCTATCAAGCAATGCTTGTAATTGAGGATAACCAAGATCTCGATTTAATGTTGCATCAAGTGAAATCAAGCGATCTAATGTTGGAATAACTGACCAAAAGTTATCATTGAACGGAAGTATGACTTTAAGATGGCGAATGTTGAGAAATTGAAACGAGAAAAGTGGTAAGACTTCACCAAGATTTTGTTTACGATGAATATGTTCAAGTGTTTGTACTTGATAATAAGATGAATAATCCAAATCGTTAAGACTTGTCGATTTCGATCGACTACCATCTGTACAATAGAATGTATCAAAGGCATAAGGCAAAGTATAAAGAATACCAGTCGTATTAATGTCCATTGGACACCAATCACATTGAACAA